CCTCTTCAACCTTACAGAGGAGGATTCTGTGATTGAATGAGACACATGATCGACTCTCTTTCCCGGCAGCTTTCATCCAAACAGTCTGCTGTGGGACGATGAGTTCAGTGTGTTTGACAGAGCGAGCGGTGGAAATGTATTCACAGAAAAATCATTTGGATGAAGAGAAATCATGATGGAGTGTGACGCAACAAGCTTCCATTAACAGGAAATGAACGAGGCAGGAAGAATAGAAACGACGTCACCATGAAGTCCATTTCCATCTGTTTCATATTAAAAGTTCTGCTAGAGGTCTTTAGAGTCATTTCTTTTAAACTAAACAGAAAAAACACCAGCAATAAAACTTCTCAGCTCTGTGTGAATAGTCAGCTAAGTTATAACTGACCACGTTTGTGACAGTTTCATCGTCCTGATTTCATCACTCTGGTGTCAGATTTGTGTTTAAAAATGTATTTTGGTCACATTAAAGCAGAAAACACATTTCACAGGAGGAGACTCTGAATGATGGAGGTCGGTGTGTTTTTCAGGAAGTCGACCGCCGGCACATCTTCTGGGAGTGCCCAATGATAAAACTCGATTTACCACTTTGTGTGATATTTAGATTTCAGGCAGGAGGGCTGATAATCACCTCATTGTATATCGATCAGATCTCCCCTTGCACAAAAAGCCGTTACTGGGCGCAGGTTACTTCCGGAATGTGGATTGATATTGAACATGAGATTTATGTTTTGGAGAGGATCACTTTTTGTCTGCGTCGACAGAAACATGTTGTTGGTAAACTTTATGTAAGGCCTCTGAGGACAGGTTTAGTAAAGGTGACCCGGGGGGCGTGTCAAGAGGGGTGGGGCCCCCTTAAAAATATGATTGGCCGACCCAGAATCGTAAACTGTGATTGGCTATTTGTCCTGTCAGAGAACAAACTGTTAGGTCTTATTTTGAAAAGGCTGCGAGTATTTTTCTTTACCTTCAATTAAACTTTTTTTTCTTTTTTTGTACTTTCACTTGTAAATAAAAACATTTTGCACATTTATTTCATAGACAGCAGCGTGGAGAAGTAACGCACTCAGTCTTAAGAACCTGACACACCGAGGAGATCGTCGGCCTAGGGTCCATGTTGAACTAACTGGTAACGTGTCGGGACTGAAACATTACAAGTTTAACTTCAGGAGGTTGCATTTTTAAGTGATTTCAATTTTTACTTTAAACAAATTTAAAAAAAAAAAGAAAAGAAATAAGCTGAGAGGAGATCTAAGTCGACATTATCTCGTGTTATAAAGAAGAAATGATTAGTGAGGTTAGAAAGGGTTAATGATTCATATTAATGTGTTAGTTTGTGACGCACTTCACACTTCAGGCCACCGAGTCTAAAAAGTGTGGACACGCCCGTGGAGGGGACCAACAGAGGACTTTTCTGATACGTTTTGAATTCATCCTGCGTGTGCACACTTTCTCTCTCCCACACGTTTCTTAATTCTTAAAATAAAAACAACAACGACTGAGGACTGCAGAGGAAGGTGAAGGTGAAGGTGAAGGGACTGCTGTCCAAAAACTGAAACTAAAGAATCAAAACAGGAAACCAGACGAGTGTTCCCTCCAACTCTTTGACTTTGTGAGGCGAGCAGACAGACGATGTGAGGAAGAGAGCGCTGCAGACTCTCTGTGTGTCCTGACGTTTTAACAGTTATGTAAACTAAGAGCATTAATATGACATAAGGTGCCAATCCAGGCGTTTAACATCTGAATATACGCTCGCCTCAGGACGCACTGACACATCGCTGCCATGAGAACACGCACTGTGGGTGAAAACTAAATGATACACATCTATCAAAGTTTACAAGATTCATAACGTCTCTAAAAGTCTGAAAATAAAAATCTATCAGCTCTCAAAGTTTGATCAAGTCGTCCGTCAGAAGTTTAAAAGTTGTTTTCTTTGTGATATTTATCTGAGAGTTAAAGCCCCTCAGATGTTTTACATTAATTAACTGTAATTATTTCCTTTCTTGCATCAGAAGCAAACTGAACTTAAACATGATGAAGTTATCCCTCACTGCAGGGGTTCCTCACCTGTTGGCTCCTGACCTATTTAACTTCTTTAACTTCTCCAAAACACAAACAGCTTGTTGCTAAAACGTTTCAAATCATCTCATCGTTTTTTTCTACTGTGATGTAAGTAAACATTCATTCAGACACATTTAAGCTGTTTGATCTTAATTATTGGGGGGGGGGGGGGGGGGGGGGGAGGCCAGGATGAGATCTGTACAAACGGAGTGTTGGATGTGTGCAGCCAGGTGTCTGCACGTCTGTTAGTTTTTATGCTGAACCAGATGACGTCTTGTAGCTCAGTGAAGGCAGAATGCTCCGCTCTCAGAGGACCTCATTAGAAATCCATGTGACCCCATTACGGATCTGTACACTTTGACTTTCCTATCTGAACCACTTCTCTTGACCGCTTCCATCGCTGCAACACCTGTTGACCTGATAACTGCTCTCATATCTGACAAACAGAGGGGCGTCCAAAACGGCCGTGTGGGGGCGTGTCTTAAAAGCGCCTACCTTCTCTGGTCCAAACAAATCCAGAGCATTCAGGAGCAGAATCTAAAGTTAGAAGGAGGACATACTGGCTGCTGCATTGTTGTCAGAGAAGCCAGCACTTCAACATAGCATGTTTCCTTAATGATCAGAGAGTAAGAGACCTTTATCATCTCACTGATTGGACCTTTAAAGTAAAACCTGTTTACAATAATCTTAAACTCAGTTCATCATAATTCTTCTAGGTTTCATGCAACTTTTTTCATTGACAAAGTTTCTGCTTCAGGAATCAATTCAATGCATCGACACAGGATTAAAAACATTTTTATGTTTCCTGTGAGAGAAAAGAACAAGTGTGTGCGCAGCCATGTGCAGGACAAAAGAAAGTGAGGAAGGTCTGCACGATGTTCAACTCCTGATGAGCAACTTTATACTTTAAACCAAAGACCTCCTTCAGGTTAATGTGTCTGGAGACAAACAGCCTGTTCTAAAAATAAAAACAGCTTCCTGTATGAAACATCAAATCTCTCTCAAAGGAGAATCTGACTTTTCTCAATCAGCCAACTCGTTACTGATTAACATTTTTAGAACTTTTTCAACGTCCTGTTGAGCAAACCTCTTCCTGTCAGAACAATCAGCTCAGAACTGATGAACACTTTCTCCCTGCAAAGTGAAAACACAACAAACTAAAAAAGAGGATCTGACCTCCTGCAGGCTGAACCGCTTTCAGAAAGTCTGTTCTGAGTTTGTGACACAAAGAACTCCAGTTTAAAGCGGCTCTCTGTAAAAGATAAACCTACAACCCCCCCCCCCCCCTCACCTGCGGGACCACTTGGCTGACGGCCGTCCGAACGGTCTCTTCCACAGCACGCCGTGCAGCTGCACCTTGGTGCTGATGTCCAACGCTTCACAGTCCGACTGCTCCATAGACGACCAGGGCGAGAACAGAGAGTTTCTGGATGAAGACGTGAACATCCTCTCTGACTCCCCCCCCCTTCCCCCCACGCCCAGGAGGTGGAGCAAAAAAAATAAAAAAGAAAAGAAAAGAAAATTATCAATGAAGTTAAAGCTCAATACAGGAAGTCAATAACAATTAAAGCTCACAGAGGAGCATGTGAAGCTGCAACATGTCCCGATAAGTCAGCGGGGTGGAATGATGCAGCTGCCGATACGCAGCTCACAGAGAGGGAGAGAGGGATGACGGAGAGGGAGGGGGGGAGGGGAGGGAGGGAGGAGGAGGGGGGAGGAGGGAGGGGAGGAGGGGAGGAGGAGGGGGGAGGAGGGCTTTATGAGTATGATGCTAAATCTGAAGCGGGTCGATAACACAGAGAGCAGACGACTACAGCTGGAGCAGAACTCTGTGGTCTCATCTCTCCATCTCTCCATCACTCCCTCCATCTCTCCATCTCTCCATCCATCACTCCCTCCATCTCTCCATCTCTCCATCACTCCCTCCATCTCTCCATCTCTCCATCACTCCCTCCATCTCTCCCTCCATCTCTCCATCACTCCATCACTCCATCTCTCCATCACTCCATCACTCCCTCCATCTCTCCATCTCCCCATCACTCCCTCCATCTCTCCATCCCTCATCACTCCATCTCTCCATCCCTCCCTCCATCACTCCCTTCCTCCCTCCCTCCATCACTCCCTCCCTCCATCCCTCCCTCCCTCAGTGAACCAGGAGAACATCTGTGTCAGAGTGAGGACTTTAAGCACAGAGGATGAGAGTGAGCAACATGCAGCTCGTTGTCGTGACGATCAGATTAATTTACAGAACACGAGTCAGAGAGGATTATGAAGATATCGACAGCTCAGCCGCAGCAGAGTGATGCATGATCCTGCTGATGTGGAAAGCCTCTCCAACAAACACTTTTACATATTTGATATCACATGATAAATCCCCCCCCCCCGGCAGATCTGACCGTGCACTTTTAGACCGATGAAGTCCTCCAAACTGGTCTTTGGTCACTTTTTGAAGGTCTCGGTTCTCGCAGCGGAATCAAAAGCATTTTTACTCGGACTTGTCTCGGTCTCAGACTGGGCGGACTCCGGATTTTAAATCAAGTCCACCAATGATCGGCTATTTGTCCACGTCTTCACTGAGATTAGAAGGAAACGCTGAATGAAAACTAAAATGTAGACAGACTACAACATGAGGAGTTAGAAACACTCAGCCAGGAGAATCAAACTCACCTTTTGTTTAGCAGATAAATATTTTTCAATAAATGAATGTATTTTGGGTCAAATCTTTGACTTCTTGTAAAATTTTAGAGAACTACCTTACAATACGATTTAATGAAATTTATACTTTATTCTAGAAATGATATTAAAAAACGTTTTCATGACATTCAGACTTTTGTCTCGATGTGTGGCCCTGATCGTCGTCCGTATGAAACCCAAAACAAAAACTTGGAATCAACAACAAACATGAAACAGGTTGAAATCAATAATCAGGATTTAAACAAATATTTTCACCAGTTTTAAAAAAACTTTAATTTAGTCGTCATAAAACACGCCGCTTTACAACTTCTCCCCACAATCAGAACGTTTGGAAATAAGGCAGACTCGACCTGGAATGACAGAAAGTAAAAAATAAAAGACGGAAAGTTACAACAGCCCCAGAATGTGACGACATCACCCCGGAATGTGACGACATCACCCCGGTATGTGACGACATCACCCCGGAATGTGACGACATCACCCCGGAATGTGACGACATCACCCCGGTATGTGACGACATCATTCCGGTATGTGATGACATCACCCCGGTATGTGATGACATCACCCCGGAATGTGACGACATCACCCCGGTATGGTAAGTGACGACATCACCCCAGTATGTGATGACATCACCCCAGAATGTGACGACATCACCCCGGAATGTGACGACATCACCCCGGAATGTGACGACATCACCCCGGTATGGTATGTGACGACATCACCCCGGAATGTGATGACATCACCCCGGAATGTGACGACATCACCCCGGTATGGTAAGTGACAACATCACCCCAGTATGTAATGACATCACCCCGGAATGTGACGACATCACTCCGGAATGTGACGACATCACCCCGGTATGGTAAGTGACGACATCACTCCGGAATGTGACGACATCACCCCGGTATGGTAAGTGACGACATCACCCCAGTATGTAATGACATCACCCCGGAATGTGACGACATCACCCCGGTATGGTAAGTGACGACATCACCCCAGTATGTAATGACATCACCCCGGAATGTGACGACATCACCCCGGTATGGTAAGTGACGACATCACCCCAGTATGTAATGACATCACCCCGGAATGTGACGACATCACCCCGGTATGTGACGACATCACCCCGGTATGTGACGACATCACCCCGGTATGTGACGACATCACCCCAGTATGGTATGTGACGACATCACTCCGGAATGTGACGACATCACCCCAGTATGTAATGACATCACCCCAGTATGTAATGACATCACCCCGGAATGTGACGACATCACCCCGGTATGTGACGACATCACTCCGGTATGTGACGACATCACTCCGGAATGTGACGACATCACCCCGGTATGGTAAGTGACGACATCACCCCAGTATGTAATGACATCACCCCGGAATGTGACGACATCACCCCGGTATGGTAAGTGACGACATCACCCCAGTATGTAATGACATCACCCCGGTATGTGACGACATCACCCGGTATGTGACGACATCACCCCGGTATGTGACGACATCACCCCGGTATGTGACGACATCACCCCAGTATGGTATGTGACGACATCACTCCGGAATGTGACGACATCACCCCAGTATGTAATGACATCACCCCAGTATGGTATGTGATGAGATCACCCCTGTAAGTGACGACATCACCCCAGTATGTAATGACATCACCCCAGTAAGTGATTTGAGTAGGGTTTTTTGGAGGCCGTTCAAAAACAATGCCTCGGTTTGTTTGTTTTTTGGCGTCTCGAGGTCGAAAAGTGTTCAAAGGTTTGTTGACACTGAACTTATCGATGACAGATCTCAGCAGGGATTTGATAACGATGCACATACTGGGGCCGTCCTCTAACATGTCCGACTGCACAGAAACTTTTCTTTTTACTTTTATACAAACTTACAGCTTCTCATAAAAAAAAGAAAAAAAAAGAAAAAAGCTCATGCAGCTGCTGGTCTGCATGCGGCCCACTCCTCTGTACCCGTTCTCCGTCTCACAGAGGAACAGGGGAGGTCCTCAGGCGTGGAGCACAAGTGTTTGACTCATACATGAGAGTCTGCAGCCTCAGAGAAGAGTCCATCAGGGTCCAAAGAGTCACGATCAAACAAAGCCTGTGTGAGTCAGCGGTTCTGTCCGACACACAGAGCGATCATGATGAGCGTGAAAAGAAGTGACTCTGTACAGTACAAACATTTACAGTCTGCAGGGAGCTGCACAGTCAAACAGGAACACTCACTACAGCGGCCTGATTACACCTCCATTCATCCACCTGGAGGACGAGGCATGGTGGGAGGGGATTCGTTCAAGAGCGTCCGTGCTTGGAGTTACTGCTCGGGTACGACTAATTAATGAGGGATAAATAAACGAGAAAAGACTATTAGGTTTGTTGAACGTTTGACTTAATAATCCTGTAACTCTGAGCCGATGTTCCCAAAATGTTTCTGTTCAGTTAACGCCTCATTTGGTCCAATCAGAGCTGCTGAACTACCATCCACCTTTAAAAAAAAAAAAATTAGAAGCTTATAAACACTTTACATGATCACCTAACGATTCATCCTCCAGTCTAATGATTAACCTGCATGTAACAAAGAGAAAGAAGCACATTTAGAAAGACGACGAGTCCCCAAACATCGAGCGTTTGAAGAGGAGAGAGACTACACGAGCTCTCCCTCCTGTTCAGACCACAAACTGATGATCAACATGGATATATTCTGACTCACATGCCAAACAAATGTGAGCTCATGGCGTCTGGCTGATTTCTGATCCTGCAGCCAGAAGAAGAAACAGAATGTGATGAGTCGGGAGTGTTTCTGTCAAACTGTGGCGCTCTCTCCTCCAGGTCTCACTTTGTTAATATGGCACTTGACAATCAGTTCAAATCACTGTGGATCGCTGCTAAGACATTTAACCGCTGTAAGATACATAAAAAAAAGTTCTCTTAAACTCTCTTAAATCAAGACCGTCTCAATCTCAGCTGTGCAACTGTCACCGCTGTGCAGAGATCCGTCGAGCACGATGACGCTGGAACTCCGCGGTGATGTAAATAAACAGATCCGTCTCTAAAAAAGGTTTATGTGGAATAAATGGACACAAACAGGAGGAGCTGAGCAGATCAGAAACATCAGCTCCTGCTCTGATGTCACTGCAGCGGCTCGGACTTCCTGTGACATCATTCAGTCTGTTTCCAGGTCGTCGAGGTCCACCAGCAGACACTAACAGTAAGACGTTTAGATCCCTCCATCTTTAATCTCTCCCTCTCTCTCTCTCTTTGTGTTTTCTCTGTACAGCCGTCGTTGTTCATCCGCCCCGAGCGCCACGTCTTAGTGGTGGTGACCGACGGACAGCACCAGAGGAATGAGGCAGCCCAGCACCAGCGCTCCCACCTCCAGCTTGCTCAGTCCTTTGCCCCCGTTCCCTCCATTAGGGGCGTGGCTGTGGCCGCCCCCGCCGCCCACCTCAGGGAGGACATGGACGGTGGCCACGTAGAGGAAGGTGCCGGCGGAGAAGAGCATGGCCACACCGGTGGCGTTGATGTCGGACAGGGCCTCCTTACTGCTCTGAGAGGGGACAAGACAGAAAGACAGTGAGGACGCTCGTCAAAACGTCTTCAGTTTGTATTTAATCAGCTACAGAGAGACGACGCCTGAAACGTCAGATGAGATAAATATGATAAATAAGAAACACACAGAGACACTTCTAAATCCACTAGATGTCGCCCTTGAGCTCCAGCATTAAACCAAAACAAACTGCTGTTAGGCCACACCTCCTCCAGAGACACACCTCCACCCCTCGCCAGACAGAATCATCCTCTGCTCGAGCTGCAATCACCTGTGTACTGCATTGTTGTGTTAGCATGCTAATGTTAGCACTCTGTTGTTAGCTCGTAGCTTCACATTGTTGTATTAGCATGCTAATGTTAGCGCTCTTCAGTTAGCTCATAGCTTCACATTGTTGTATTAGCATGCTAATGTTAGCGCTCTGTTGTTAGCTCGTAGCTTCACATTGTTGTGTTAGCATGCTAATGTTAGCGCTCTTTAGTTAGCTCGTAGCTTCACATTGTTGTGTTAGCATGCTAATGTTAGCGCTCTTTAGTTAGCTCATAGCTTCACATTGTTGTGTTAGCATGCTAATGTTAGCGCTCTGTTGTTAGCTCGTAGCTTCACATTGTTGTATTAGCATGCTAATGTTAGCACTCTGTTGTTAGCTCGTAGCTTCACATTGTTGTGTTAGCATGCTAATGTTAGCGCTCTTCAGTTAGCTCATAGCTTCACATTGTTGTGTTAGCATGCTAATGTTAGCGCTCTTTAGTTAGCTCATAGCTTCACATTGTTGTGTTAGCATGCTAATGTTAGCACTCTGTTGTTAGCTCGTAGCTTCACATTGTTGTGTTAGCATGCTAATGTTAGCACTCTGTTGTTAGCTCGTAGCTTCACATTGTTGTATTAGCATGCTAATGTTAGCGCTCTTTAGTTAGCTCATAGCTTCACATTGTTGTGTTAGCATGCTAATGTTAGCGCTCTTCAGTTAGCTCATAGCTTCACATTGTTGTATTAGCATGCTAATGTTAGCGCTCTGTTGTTAGCTCGTAGCTTCACATTGTTGTGTTAGCATGCTAATGTTAGCGCTCTTCAGTTAGCTCATAGCTTCACATTGTTGTATTAGCATGCTAATGTTAGCGCTCTTTAGTTAGCTCATAGCTTCACATTGTTGTGTTAGCATGCTAATGTTAGCGCTCTTCAGTTAGCTCATAGCTTCACATTGTTGTGTTAGCATGCTAATGTTAGCGCTCTTTAGTTAGCTCATAGCTTCACATTGTTGTGTTAGCATGCTAATGTTAGCGCTCTGTTGTTAGCTCGTAGCTTCACATTGTTGTATTAGCATGCTAATGTTAGCACTCTGTTGTTAGCTCGTAGCTTCACATTGTTGTGTTAGCATGCTAATGTTAGCGCTCTTTAGTTAGCTCATAGCTTCACATTGTTGTGTTAGCATGCTAATGTTAGCGCTCTTCAGTTAGCTCATAGCTTCACATTGTTGTGTTAGCATGCTAATGTTAGCGCTCTTTAGTTAGCTCGTAGCTTCACATTGTTGTGTTAGCATGCTAATGTTAGCGCTCTGTAGTTAGCTCATAGCTTCACATTGTTGTGTTAGCATGCTAATGTTAGCGCTCTTCAGTTAGCTCATAGCTTCACATTGTTGTGTTAGCATGCTAATGTTAGCGCTCTTTAGTTAGCTCATAGCTTCACATTGTTGTGTTAGCATGCTAATGTTAGCACTCTGTTGTTAGCTCGTAGCTTCACATTGTTGTGTTAGCATGCTAATGTTAGCACTCTGTTGTTAGCTCGTAGCTTCACATTGTTGTGTTAGCATGCTAATGTTAGCGCTCTGTAGTCAGCTCGTAGCTTCACATTGTTGTGTTAGCATGCTAATGTTAGCGCTCTTTAGTTAGCTCGTAGCTTCACATTTCATGTAAACTGACACAGAATGAGCGTGATCTAAAAACTCTTACTAACATCCAAATAATCAGTGAGTATGTTCTTCTTCTTCTTCTTCTTCCAAAAACAAAATCATCAGACATGAACATTTACCTGACTGAGGCCTACGAAGGTGAGCATGGCGAGGACGGGCGCTGCCAAGGCGAAGACCAGGAGATGTTTGCGGATGCGATTTCTCTCCAGACCAGCATGCATCAGGAACGACACGAGGCCGAACGCTGCAGGAGCCTGAGGACAGCGGAGCGGCAGAGGTCACATTAAAGCAGCGCTGTTAACGCACGCTAACCGGCAGCGTTCATTTTATCAAATATAATCATGTATTAACCAAACGTACCTTATGCAGCATGATGGCCACAAAGACGATGAGCTGAACGCTGGTCTGAGAGGTGGAGGCGGCGGCTCCTAACGCCACACCGTCAGCTGAGGGCGGGAAACACGAAACACTTTTCTAACGTTTCTAATCCGACATGTTGCTGCTCAAACACTTTAAATCAAACGCTGATCACCAAGGAGATTTGAAGCAGAGCAAACTGTTGTTGTTTTTTTTATATTTATTTTTGGGCTTTTATGCTTTTATTTTGATAGGACAGGAAGTCGAGAGAGAGTTGGGATTGACATGTGTGAAAGGATCGTCAGGTTGGACAAGAGATGCCAACTTCAGTATGTTTTCATGCTCAGTTAAAGGAGCAGTATGTAACACCTGGTGTTTCAAATGGGTACTGCAGCCCTCCGACACAGTGAGTGCTCACACACAGACCTACCTGCAGCGTGGACCACGAGACCCAGGGTGGTGGTGATTTTGGAGGAGGCGACTCTTGCGGACTCTGGATCTAAAAAACAGACAGAATCAAAATGTCAGACGGCGTTCGATGATCACGAGAGTCACAATCAGGTTTTTATTTGTTATCTACAGCGGTCAGTCTGTGTGTCGCTCTTTTAGTACCAGCTGTGTCCACCAGGTGGAGTTTGTAATCCTGCTAGCTACATGTATGCTACGCCAATGTTGTGAAGTGCAGACCCCTCCTCTGCTCACTTGTTGTCTTTTAAAGGCTTTATATGTGATGTTTTGATCCAGCAGATGTCGCCCTTGAGCTCCAGCATGAAACCAAAACAACTCACGCTGCATTGTTGTGTTAGCATGCTAATGCTAGTGATCTTTATTCTGCTGGTATCTTCACACTGCATGTAAATTTACCTGAAATGAGCGTGATCTAGAAACACAGTTAAGCAGTGAGTACAGTATGTTATTCTTCTTTTCTCTAGTCCCTCAATTAAACAACTTTTATACACGAGGGGAGGAGTCAGCCGGCCGTCCGGGCGATGTAAACAAACTGAAGATAGGACTCTGAAAACTCTGAAAACATCACAGACAGTGGGACTCGGGTGTTACACCCATTGTAGACAGTCATGACTCACAGAGTTATTTTCAGAGGAGATACTTGATTTCTACATTTAAGTGTGAAACATCACATATAAAGACTTTAACTGAGGAGTCTTTAAATCAAAGCAGCGCTCCACCTGTCAGGGTGTCGGTGCACTTCAGTCACGATGGTGCATGTCGGTGATGAAGCTTTAGAGATTAAAAACCTCTCTGAGCATTTAACAACAGTCTAATGTTCCCATGCTAACAGGACGCCGCCCACTTTCAGATAAACAAAAAGGATTAAAAGTCCTTCTACACATGATGCATGTGTTCTGGGCCTTTAGCATTAATCTCATGATGTTTGTCCCTTCAGGCTCTCCGTAGATAGTGGTCCTCAGTGTCTCCCTGTAGTCTCAGTGATGGAAAAGAAGGACACTGAGAGACAGCTCAGCTGACGAGTCCAAAGCTTTAGAGGCATAGAACTATCAAAGCATTATGTCTGCTCCACATCTGTCCTGCATGATATACATGTTTTATTTTAATGATGTGTATCCTGCATGCTTTATGTATTTTCTCCTGTGGCTGCTCACCTGTCTGCTTCATTACTGTCATGATATTTCTTTTTGTAGCTTTTAGCGATGTTTGAATTGGGTTTTTTTTAGGGAGCCTTTTATAAAATCTGTCCAGGGACAACAGATGAAAATTAGACTTTTGGCTAACTCTGGCATATTTACCGAAATGTTTATTAATATGTCCCTGTAAAATTAATGAAAAATAATAATAATAATAAAATTAAAAAAAGTAAAGAATCCACAGTGTGATGAAACAAATTCTTTCCTTTTAAACTTATTTAGTGAGCCGAGGAGCCGAGGATATTTAAGGTCGATTTAAGCATCGGAAGACTTTGTTCAGCGTCGGCAGCTCACAGAAAAAAAGGACTGGTGGATCTGGGAGGACAGATCTTTTAAGCCATCTGGATGAGTCGTGTCAAATTAAACAGAATGCTGCTGTCACAAAGTCTGAACTCTAACAAACCAGGTCTCCACACAAACAAGCTGTTTCCTGTTAGTACCTGATGACCTCTGCAGGCGTCATCTCACTGACCTTCAGTACTACTGTGCACGTGAGAGCTGCCGATCTGATCCACCAGCAGCATGAAGACGAAGCCCAGGACCAGAGAGACCCCGATGCAGGCGTGGAGCTGCTCGTGGCTGTGCTCGTGTTCCACGCCCGCACTCAGGGCCGTCTCAACGCCATCCACTTTGGCCTCAGACGCCACCAAGACTCCGACCTGTCCGTGTTTGTTGTGTTCACCTGCAGGAGGAGAGAGAGCGGTCAAACACCTGAGCACAACCTGAGTCCTGTTAGCTCAGAAGATTTCTTGAGTCTCTGATGTTCC